CCGTCAAAAAGGCGCATGGGCCCAAACCAACTTGGGGTTTTTCACTACTGACTATTCCCTACATGATGAAAATAGTCTGAGTCGAAAAGCTTTTAATTACCTCGAGAGGTTCCCTCGTGAGTGCAAATGCTTAATGCACTTGAACATTTATGCTATTTAAATGCTCATGATTTTGTTATCAAACCGAGAATATCATTTATATTTACTACAGAAGACGAAGAAGACATAGAAAACGACACAAATGAAAATATAAAAGGGATCAATGATAACAATACCGTGAATTGTAAGTTAGCTCAACATTGGCAGACGGGTTTTGCACTTTCAAGGCTCTAGTACACTTTGTTAGCAGCTAAAAAGTGATCAAGTTTAATCATATTTCATTCTATATTCTTTGATGAGAAAAGCGCCTAATATCAGCGACATACGTGATTTAACAATCCTATTTATAAAACGTGTTTAAAAGCTGAACTTATAAATTTCTTTTGCAGATGTATTGAACAAATAGAGAGAGAGGGAGAGAGAGAGAGAGAGGGGGGGTGGGAACTTTTAATCTAGCTCACGTTAAAGAATGTGTTTTATTTTAATGTCAATTATAAAAGAAAGAAAGATATAAATAAAGATCACTATTTCGAGGTTTTGCGTATGTTCATTGATCTTATTCATCACTGTTATTTTGACAAAAATGCCATGGTCAAGTGATCGAGTTGAAGCAGTTGGAAGAAACAAATCAGCAACAAAACAAGAAAAATACTTTAAATTAACTTTTCATGAACTATTACCCATCTTATGTTCGGCTGCTGTTCCCATAGTTATTTGTGTTTATACAGCAATAACAACTTATGAACAAACAAAAGAAGCAGAAAGACGTCAATTTGATTTAAAACAAGTAGCTGAAGAAAGACGTCTATTTGATCTTACACAAGCAAATCAACTAAGACAACAACTACTTTACGATCAGTTTATCGATAATATGTACACACTGGACAAGGATGGTCAATTAAATGATTCAGCCAAACCATGGGCATTTCCTAATGCCCGTTACTGGACAGCACATCGACAATGGGAGCCTGAACACAAAGGACATTCATTGATATTTCTTAAAAAGATAGATTTAATTGGTCGTCAGTGTCATGGACCAGAAGGTCAACTTAAACGATTGGATGATATTATTCAATTGAATCAATTAAATTTTGACAATATTCGTTTAAAGAGTCAAAATAGCAATATGCATCCGTTAAATATGACGTGTATACGCTTCGATGAAGTATCACTGATTAATGTATCATTCACTTTTGTCAATCTTGATTATGCATCATTTGATGCTTCAAGCTTAAATGGCAGCAAATTCGAAGAGTCATCATTGATCGGAACTATTTTTAATGCTACACAATTACATGGTACTGATTTTTCAAATTCAGACTTGCAAGACGCTCATTTGTACAATGTCATTTTATCAACCGTGAAAATAACAGAAGAACAAAGAAAACAAGCAAAATTCACGAATATCACATTGCTAAACGCTAGCAATGCAGACAAGTCAACAACAACCACAGGTAAATTATAAAATATTTGATTAAGAAAGAAATTCTTAACACCTTTTTCTGCTGCAGAGGTTGCAACAACGACACAACAAAAGCCTGTCATGACATCCATAAGTACTCAAGTCATGTTTAGGACTGAAAGTAAAATACTTTTTATTTCTGATTTCTACTAATAATGATTAGCTATTTCTTCCTGTATTTACAGCAGTTTCGACAGATACGAACGAAACAACAATGACTACAATAACAAAAGCAACCGCAATCGCAACAACAACACCAACAAGTGAATGCTTTTTTGATAGAACTTCCTTTTTCATCCTCTGAAGTACTTTCCAGTATTATAAACAGTCAATAGATAGAAAGCTAACGCCGCTTGGGTTATGCTGAAGCTTTTATGGGTTCTAAGTGCAATCTGTAATCTATTTCCCGAATCCTATCCGACCGACTATTTTAATTTTTTTCGAATTTTCACGTTGAAAAATTACCAATCAAAACTGAAAATTACCGAAATTACCGATTCTCAGCAATGAAACAAAGGTTAAAATCAGGCATCACCTACTTTTGAAGGTCGTTTGATGGCCGATCTAACCATGTGTGAATCAAAGGTCTAATCCTTCACGCAAAAAACGAGTAGGGTTTGTAAACAGAGGTCCTCGAGAATGGACCTTTAAACGTTTGGGCCTCTGACAAACTTTCACTTTCAGCTTTAAAGGCTTAAAAATACCCTGGCTAGGTTCAGTTTTGAACAAGGAATCCAAACAAAGGAAGCTCGAGTCTCAAAACCATGAAGGGAAAAAGCTTTTTCGAAACTGAAAAATGTTAGGGTTTTTGAGGTCTTTTCAGTATTTTCAGATTTTCTCGATGAAGAAAGGAGTTTTAAGGGCTGGGAAGGTGATATTCGGGATCACCGTCAAACGACAAATTTGAATATGTATCATAAACTAAACAAATTTCACTCCAAGTTAGATTTACATGCATCTTAAAATACTTTTTATTTCTGATTTCTGCTAATAGTGATTAGCTATTTTTTCCTTTATTTACAGCACTTTCGACAGATTCGACCGAAACAACAACGACTACCATAACAAGGGCAATCGCAGCAGCAACAGCAAGAGCAACACCAACAGCAACAATTTTTTATTTTTTTGATAGAACTTTCCATTTCATGATCTTAAGTACTTCCATTTCGAACTTCGCGATTGTTTAAGTTACAACCTCATATTTTTTCATCAATAAACACCGATCTGTCTCCACTAGAACTTCAGGTTTTTTAATGAAGAAACCGGTGTTTCTCCACCCGATCTTCTTGTTTTTTCCTGAAGAAATCGACGTTTCTCCACTACAACTTCGCGTTTTCTCCTGGAGAAATCAAGCTTCTACAGTAGAACATGATATTTTTTCTTCAGGAAGGCGATCTTCCTCCACTTGCGCTTAATATTTCTTCCTCTAGAAGCCGATGTTCCCAAACTAGAACTTCATGTTTTTTGCTAAAGAAACCGATTTTTCTCCACTACAATCTCATTTCTTTTCACCAAGAAACCGATCTTCCTCCACTAGATCTTCATGTATTTTCAACGCCAGATTTATTCATCCAGAAACCAACGTTTCTACATTAGATCTTTATGATCTTTCCTGAAAAAGTCGATGTCCCTCCACTCAAACTTCATGTTTTTTCCTGAAGAAACCGATCGTCCTCCACCGGAACCTCGTATTTTCTCATGAAATTTTGAATTTTCAGTTGAAAACAAAGAATTTCCATTTTATGCAAGCATGATGTTTCATAAGAAACCTGGAATGTTTAACTAGCGGATCTTCATTGCATTCTAACATACGCCTTATAAGGATAGATAGCCGGAAGTATTCTCTTTAAAACTGAAACTAAGCGACCGCTTAATCTTTCGTGGCTTACGCGTGGTATCGGATTTCCTCGAAGACTAGGAGATATATTCATTTTGGTGTGGTAATCTCGAAAATGAATGGAAGTATAAATAATCGACCACACTGCAGCTCTTGGCAGTATCGGCTTTTAAATTAACATTCAAAAACGTTGTGAAAACTTATATTAGCTGCGATAACCCGTTTTTGCTTTTTGGCTCGTCGACGTCGTTCATGTTTATAATATGGACTGATTTTGCCTTTAACCACTCTACTTTATACATCGTGCGACAGAAAATTTTACTGGCTTCAAAATGATATATAAGATAGTCTTAGGAAAATGTGACTGGAGAGTCTAAGATTCGAAGTACTCGGTATTTTCCCAGAAAACGGGTAGGCCAACCTCGTTCATGTTTATAACGGTGATCAATTTTCTCGTTAGCCACTCTATTTTACACATCATTCGTAGAGAAATTTACGGGCTAGACAATGATATATAAGATAGTCTTAAAAAAATGTGACCGGGTACTTTAAGAATACTACGTAGCATCCCAGGAAAACGGTCGGTGGATGTTGTTCATCTCTATAATAGTAACTGATCTTCCGGTTAACCACTCCACTTTATATATCATTCGATAGAGAATTTGACGGGCTTCGAAATGATGTATAAGATAATCTTCAGAAAATGTAACTGGGTAGTCCGAAATACTCGGTAGCATCTCAGCAAACCCGTAGATCAACGTCATTCACGTTTATAATATCTATTAATTTTGTGGTGAATTGCTCTGCTTTATATGCCATCCGATAGAGAATGTCACGAGCTTCAAAATGAGCTAAAAATAAATCTTTTGAAAATGTGCCCACATTCGTCAATAGTTGAAATACTTGGCCAGTATAATGATTTTCACCTGTCTTAGTGCTTTGAAGACTCGGTTAGTTGTTTTTCTGCCATACGAAAAATTATATATTGTTCGAAAACATTCCATTCGATAGCCCTTGAAATTCACTACAAGGTGAGCTGGTCACAATATTCAGACAGATGGGGCCAGTCATTACAGATATGGAAAAGAAGCATTTTGGTGTTATCTAAGCGGTACAGTGTGTCATAATCATAAGAATCGCCTTGTTTTTGACTTTCTACTATCCATCCCAAAATACAAGACCCGTGGGCATTTTTTTGAATAACTTTTGATAGGAATGAGACAGAGACCTGCGACTTTCGCTGTCTATAGCCAAGACTTGAGCAGAACTTTTCACAAGCGGAAGCAACTTTTGGAAAAATTCTAGGGATCGAGTTTTCAGAGGATCTTTGGAAAACCAACTCCGTTCTCAGAAAACTAACATACAATGTTAGTAATTTTTTTGCATGCGTAGATAGTTTGGACGTAACTCTACAAAATTATGCAAGTCCCGGCTCTCTAGCTATCGTCGTTCGGGCAGGGCTCCCTTTCCCCGAGCACGTGCCTGTCTCCGAGCAGACATCTCTGGGAATCTCAAAATGCCATGGACTATAGGTAATCGACTTCGCTGAGCATAGTAGCAACATTTGTTTTTGTGTAGAAATGAATATAACTTCGTCAGAGG